GCCTCTGACAAGTCTATCGTACTCAAGAACTTGGCCCTGGGAAATTGACCGAGAATTCGGCCAGGGTGGGGCAAGGGATATCCGTCACGTACCGTTCTTTCGTTTACTTTTCGGGCATCAAGACATAGGCCAACTTTTCCAGCCGGTTTTATCACCGGTGCAACATTGGAGGTCTAATTGGGGTAAGCTCTTTCGATTATTCCAATCAACAGCATCCTCTCCAACTCATCCGCTAACTTCTGTTGCACCTTGGGAGCAAGAGTATACGGGTATTGGGCTATCGGGGCTTTACCTTTATATTAATTAGCTATCTCTATCGTGTATTCTATTAGCGGCGTCATAGTCAGCCTATCTGGACGAGCACACAAAAAGAGACTCTTAACCTCCACAATCAATACGAAACTAACGATTTAAAATTGGCTCACTACTTGACTAGCCTATTGGTCCCAAGCAAACGATTAACGTACCCTATTCTAGTTGAAATTCTATTACTACACTATGTTTGTTTTGATTCGCTATGAAAGTTTGACAGATAACATCAGGGGTGTGTGGATTCATGCAGAACATGCAGGGGTGAGTGAAATAGCTTGGGACTGCTTGGGACCGTTGTTCTGGTACTGAGTGAGCCAAAAATAATAATGATTTTCTTCGGGACCCAGTGGTCTTAGAGTTACCTCTATGCTATGATTGTTCAATCTAAGGAATACATTTTAGCTAATTAAGGTTAACTGACAGATTTTAATACTAGCGTAGGGTCAGTTGTCGTAGGCATCTTTAAGAGTGATATTAAGAACCTGGGAGTCATCACTAGAATACAAGTCTTCCCGAACTGGTTCCCAAAATTCGGCAAGATGGTCCCCAGGCGGTACTGGGTTTACGCGTTTGGGCTCGACGGTCGGTGATTTCGGACCAGTATGGACAGTTATTAGTTTCGAACCCCTTGAACCCGCAAACCATACACAGAGAGCCCCTGTAGTTCCTGCACTGCTCTAGGGCATGATTGGTCTGCCGACGGCAGTACAAGCATTCATAACTCCGAGGGGGCCTATGAGCTTCGGTAAGTTTCTCTAGGGTCCTCGTGGGTTTAGAGGGACCCTCCTTTGGATCTAGTTCCTTAGGCTGTTTTGGCCTAGGAGGTTGGTCAGGTTTCTTACCCTCAGTGTAACCTTTCTTTTACGGATATGTCTCCTTTGGCTTATAGGGATTGGGGACCCGTGGTTGGTTCGGTTTGAAAGATGTTCTATTGTTGTAGTTCCTCGAATCACATTTTCCGGCCTTGGATTCGGAAATCGCATTGGTGGCTTGGCATACAACGAAAAGTTGGAACCAGCGATCAAATGTCCCGCTTCGAGCAGATCTGGTCTTCTTGTAGTCGCTCATGAGTACACTCATCAATCGGAACATGCTTTCTAGGTCGTAATAGTAAGCTTGAAATGTTTCATTCCTTTGTTGGCGCCTTTAATAAACCTTAGTGCGAACCAGCGAATCTAGTTCGGGGTGAGCAAAAGTTTTTCGAAGCTCGCTAACCTAATGAGTCCAGCTAGCCGAAGAACGCATGGTCATTAGACTGATGCAAAATTTGACTCTTTCGCTCCACAATACTAAAACGATTCCAAATCGGATCCTGACTAACCTCTCAAAATTTGAACCCATTTGGTGAGAAACTGAGATGGCACAAACCATTTAAAGTTTGTATGGGAATTACTATGGTAAAACCAAGATTTTTGTTCATGTCTATCCACCAATTCACCATATCGGTCTGCTTCAAAAGCTTTCAATTGTACTTGTAGAAAATCTTCCCAGCTACAACTTTGCCCAAGACCACTTTTTGATTAAATGCAAGAATCGAAAGTTATCAATGGTTCAATGCGCTGATGTCTTATGATCATGCTCAATCAACTGCTCAGCAGGCAACATTGGTGTTTCTGGGGCGTTGAATAGGACACAACAATCATGGCTACTATGTCACACTGCAAAATACAGTGTTGCCTACAGAGCAGCTGCTTGATCATGTCATAAGTTTACCAATCTCTTAAATAATTAATAACTTTTTCCTGTCTCGTTTTACATAGAAACGATCTTGAGCAAAGTTGTAGCTGAGAAAATTTTCTCTAAGAATGGCTATCGAACTGTTTCGCAGCACAATATGGAAAAGACTAGAAGGTAATGAACAAAAAGTTGAGATTTCCCATAGTAATTTACATGTAAACATCAAATGGCTTGTGCGAAGTCCGTTTCTAACCAAATGAGTTATAACTTTGGGAGGCTAAGCAGGACCCGATTTGAAACCATTTAAGCACTGTGGAGCGAAAAAGTCAAATTTTGCATCAGTCTAATGGTCATGTACCAGTTGAGCGCAGGTCCGGTGAATAAGTGGAAACGCCGAAACAAACAGCTCAAGTGCGTTCCGATAAGGCTAGCTGTGATACCAAAACCAGAAATTCGTTCAGCTTGAGCCCCTGATCCGTGCCTGTATACTTTTCTAGTTTCCACTTTGAAACTGGTAACGACTTATGACCCTGATTACTACGCGAAGTGTCATACGGAAAAGGATACATCGTTGGAACTTGTCCAGGTATTTGGTGAACCGAAGCAGGATTACCTCCCGTTGTGAAACTGGAGCCTGTGCCGATGTGGGACCCTGATTCGGCCATGGGGAATGTAATGCCCTATGGTAGTAACAGGAACTGAGTTCCCCTGGTGAACTGGTACCCAAGGGTAATACCCCGGCCGTCGAGGAAGACGTACTCGGAATCGATTGGGGAACGTACGGCATTGATACGGGTCCCATATACGGGTTCGTGTTAACCGACGTCGCCACCCGAGGTATCGAACTACTAGAAGTCGCATATGTACAGAAATTTATCCTCGGAATCGACTCCGGCCTTTGGGGAATCGGCTGCACAGTTGTCGATGGAGTCCATCCTAAGTGGGGCACAGACGTCGTTGAATGAACTCATCAACCGGGGACCAACGGCTTTACTTCCCGAAGGAAGGCGTGATCAGAGATGTTATGCCTCAGAACATCTTGGCGGCGCCGACTGGGATTGAACCCAGGCCTGCTGGGGTGAGAACTTTCTCACTGCGTACCGCTAGCATACTTGTGAAATTCTCGCATGTGATATAGCTCGAGATCCTGACCAGATAGAAAGTTACGGTTTTTGACAAAGTTGTTCAAGAGATCATAACCTTTTTGCTGGTGGACGGACAGTGATTCAGAATTTTCTCACTACGTAGCATTAGCATACATGGGAAATTCTCGCATGTAATATCTCGAGATCTTGACCAGATTGAAAGTTACTGTCTTCGACAAAGTTGTTTAGGAGGTCAAAGCCGATTGATTGGTGCACAATAATTTAGAATTTTCTTCCTTTATGGTGCTAGTACACACGTGCAATTCTCGCCTATATAATATCTCAAGATCCTGACCTTTTGATTGGTGAACTGTAGTTCAGAAATTTCTCAATACGTAGCGTGCATTTCGATGGGTCTAGAACAAAAAAAAAATCGTGTATTTTCGTGTGTACGAACAACGGGAATACTCAGAAAGTGAGTCACTTTTTCTCAGTTGTAGTTGAGCAGTTGTGCAACAGATGGTGCTGATGAAGATGTTTAGTTGATAAGGTTGTAAATATCTTATGTAGAAAGAATCTGTTTAAAATATATTACGTTATAGAAGGGAAAAACAGTAATAAATAAAAGAAATATTTGGCTCGAGGTTTCACACAACATAAGACACACATCGAAATAATATGATTCAATCGAACAATTTTCATGACTTCTAAACCAATATTGTATATATTGAGAGTATCTACCCAACAAACAATTTTAGCTGCAGACTAGCTTATACAGGCAAAAATTAGCTGTATAAGCCAATTTTTTGCTCTATAAGCTAATCTGCAGCTAAAATTGTTTGTTGGGTAGTTCCTTTTCATATCCAAATAATAATGCTGCATTTGATTCAGTATATATTAAATTTCACATGTAACGCAGCAAAACGAAAGAATCCTGAACTAATCAGCTCACCATCCGGAAGAACTTTGCCGATGACAGTAACTTCAAGAATGGTGAAGACCTCAAGCTATAGCATATACAAATATTTCATCTGCACACTAGCGCCGCATACCAAAAAGATTCTGAACTACTGCTCACCAGCCAAAAGGCTTTGACCCGCTAAACAACTTTTCCGAAGACAGTAATTTTCTAGCTGTTCGGGATCTCGAGCTATATCATATATGAGGATTACACGTGTACATACATAATAACGCTGAACTGCTGTCGATCCCCTGAACAACTTTGCCGAAGATAGTAAGGACAGTTCAGGATTTAGAGCATATGCACCACAGTTAAATTCTGAATACAAGGAAATAAATGAGCCAGTTATGATTTCATCCCACATATCCAATGAAAACCCTGTCCAGATCATGTTTATAATAATTTTAAAATAGTGGTTTTCTACCAGAAAAGCTCAAAACTACCTGTCGATCATCTTGTAATATCGTAAAAACTTTATGTTCAAATCATTTGCCCTTGAAAACATATCAAGTGGTGGAATGAATATACCAAGAAGGCAAGCCCGGCGCAAGGCACTTCGACGTGTAAATCGGCTCCCCATTGCACATCACGATAGAGAGGAGGCCCTTTGTTCCTACCGTGAACTACACAACCAATGCCGACAAGAAATCCGTAATGCCAAGCGATCCAGCTGGATGGAGTTCCTGGAAGGCATGAACGCATCGCAATCCTCGGCCGACCTCTGGCAGCAAATCAACGCCCTCAGTGGGAAACGACGCACGACAACAAGTTCAAGCAGAAAGCGAAGCCATCGACCGCATCCATCGAAGACTTCATAGTATCCCCCGACACCGCCAGTACCGGAATAAACCAAGCCTTCTGTTGGCAGGAACTTCGCTGCAGCAACGGGAAGTCGGTAGGAACCGGAGAAATCGGATATCCTCTACTCAAGAGGCTACCAGTATCAGGACAGCTACAGATGCTAGATGTCTTCAACAAACTCTAGCTCACTGAAGCAATACCTCGAAGCCGGAAATTTCCTTGCTCACCAACAGTGCACTTTCCGACAAGGTTTCGAAACGTCCATCCATTTTAGAACCCTAGGGGAAGCTCTCAAGAACGCCTACGACAGCGGTCTGCACACCGAGTTATTATCACTCGACAAGCAACTAATCGACTGGAGTCTTAACGGACCCATTGTTCACTTCATCCAGGAATACTTGTCCAGAGTTGCAGTCGGCAACACCAAATCCCTGCTCTCCCTCGAGGAAACGGGTGTCCCACAAGGATCGGTTATCACCGTTACCCTGTTTCTCGTGGCGATGAACGGAGTCTTCCCGTCAACTACCGATATCCTCATCGTCATCACTGGACCCACGCCAGTACGTACAAGAGGCAGTCTCCGCCGTCGCCAGGTGGGCCCACTTAGTAGGCTTCGAATTGTCTGCCTCTAAAAGCATCAGGTGTCATGTCTGCCCTTTTCGACACAGACTTAGCGGACCACCGATCAAAGTCGACGACCAGTCCATACCGCTGAAGAAGACCGTCCGAGTTCTGGGAGTTCTCGTTGACCGATTCCTCAGCTTCGAACAGCATTTTAGTGCAGTCAAAAATAACCGTTTCACCATGGAAGTGCGACTCGACTCCAACTGCATCTGACTGGCAGCACAGCAACAGCCATAATATATATTGATTCATTAGTCACTATTTCAAAAGCAGTTGAAGTGGTGGAACGGGAAATTATCCGTTTTTCTGGGATTCCCCAGCAAGTAATTCCAGCAGAAAAGCAGTAATCCCTTCTGCAAAATGGAAGCAGAGCTTTTAAATCGTCATAAGTGTTTATGCATCGATGAAAACACTCATCCAAAAGAGCATATTGATACGTGCAACTACATTATTATCCATTCATACTCTACTGCACTATCTTATCGCGAGCTGATTTTTGACAAGAGTTTGTGTCATAGGGTAGAGTGCTACCAACAATCAATACGAAACTAACGATTTTAGATTGGCTCACTACTTGACTAGCCTATTGGTCCCAAGCAAATCGATTACGTACCCCATTCTAGTCAAAATTCTAGTACTACACTATGTTTGTTTTGATTCGCTATGAAAGTTTGACAGATAAAATGAGAGGTTAGTGGATTTTCCTAGGTTTCGAGGGGTGCATCGATTAGCTTGGGACCGAAGATAGTACCAGAGCTGAGCCAAAAAGTTGAGCTCGTTTCTTCGGGACCTATTAGTCTTAGAGTTACCTCTATGGTGCTACTTCGCCCGTTTCTAATCTAATAGACGAGTGCACGGGTGAACTTTTGTTCATCTACTGAAACAAAATTGACACAACAGCGGGGCCCTGTTTACTAAAAATGAACATGAACCGAAGAACGCCCACGCAAACCAAGAGCACAATTGGGAAGGGGAGAATTTTCCCTACCCGATGGTGCTGTTAGTTTGCGTGGGCGTATTCGGTTCGCGCTTAACCAGTTTTGTGTACTAAAGTTGATAGGCCCGTTTCAAATGTTACGCGAGTATTATGCATGTATTCATTTTTAGTAAACAGGGCCCCGCTGTTGTGTCACTTTTTGTCGAGAGAGTGAACTCCAATCCATTCGTGCACTCGTCTATGGCGTTTCAATGCGTTAGGACGGAATTAACCACTTCATTCGAGCAGATAAAATGACGTTTACTACCACTCGAACTTTGAAATGAAACATTATTTTGAGATTTTTTCTTCCAGAACCTCGAGAAAAGTAGCCAAGATTTGTGCGTTTCACAAAAAAATAGAAATTAGTTGGTCCAGTTTTGTGAAATCGCTGGAAGAAAGTCACGCCAAAACTGTTTGACAAAGTGGTCAATTGAAGCTTGTAGGACGAATTTAGAATCAAGAAGCAGTATTAGATTTCAAACAATATCTCAACAATTTGTGACTCTTTATCAAATCCAATAATACGTATGGAAAGGTGAATAAATTTAGAATTTATATTTGACAGAAAAATTAATTTTTTTGATCAAACCTGTTCAAAAAAGAGAGGTAAAGCGCGGGTTGTGCTTAGTAGGACGGAAATTAGATCAAAAACCTTACTTCAAGTAGGAGTCTCACTTTTAGAATGCCCATTGAATAAGCATTTAATTTAGATCAAATGCATTTAATTTCTATCATTTGCATCAACCATTCAATGGGCTTTTTTGGTGACACCTATACATACATACATACATACATGCATCGAGGCGAAGATAAACAAACATAACAGGAAAAGAAAACTCGAAGTAGAGAATTCACGAAAATCTCCCTGCAACCTTCTCCGGCAGCAAAGAAATCTCCACCGGAATCATGCGGAAGCTACACCACCTAAAACACGAGAAAATACCGTACAGATTTCCTAACTTCCGTTCACAGCACCGAAAATCACCACGGTGAATGCGAGAAAACTCCGTCGAAGCTGGAATCTCCGCTGGCAGAACCAAAACCCTCCACCAAAATTGTGAAGAACCTCTTTCGCTGGCGCTGATAACGTGAGAAAACTCTGTTAAACTTTCCTGGAACCTCCGCTGGCAGCATCATAAATCGCCACCGAAACCGCATGGAACCTCGTCCGCCATGATCGCCAGGGTTGCCAAAAGTAAATCTGTGTTTTTGCCCAAAAAAATCTTTTCATCTTAGTTTTTGTCCAGAAAATCTGTGATGATAATTTTTATATTTCCTTTGAAAAGTAATTCAGCCATTTTCTGATAGAGACAAAAAATAGATAACAAAATATGTATCATAAATTGCTTATGATTTGGCAAAAAAGAATACCTCTGACAGTTCTAATTCTCCTTTTTAATTCCACAAAACAGGCTTGCTTAGATTTATTAGTTGGTGATGGTGAAAATAAGTGAAAATAATGTTTTGTTCTTAAACATCTCAAGTTTAATTGCTTTAATGGTTTGATCATATTTTAAAAATCTGTGTAATCTGTTTAAATCCTAAAAATCTGTAATCTGTGAATACAGATTCTTGGTTTTAAAAACTCTGAAAAATTTGTAGAAATACAGAATTATCTATAGTTTTGGTAACCCTGATGATCACAAGAAAACGCCATCGAAATTTCGATTTTTTTTAAATGGTAATATATTTATTTGTCAACACTAACAGACTCAATGTAGCCCCAATTTATTTTATTTAGTCAAACCAAGTCAAACGTAATTCTGGTGGATGAACCCTTTATCAGAACAAGACAAAGTTGCTAGAACCTTCGTTGGCAGCTGCTAGAATCGTGCGAAATCATGCAAAATTTAATTCGCCGAGGGGGCAACAAAATCCGTTGAAACTTCCAGGAACTCCCGCTAGCAGCATTCAAAATCACCGAAATCATGCGGAACTTCATCCATCGATAACGTAAAGCAAACCCCACACGCATCAATATATTGACGCGAAGGGGAGTTATTGACAATAATATTGATGATGTGAATTCAGAAATATTGTCAATCTCGATGTATTGACGTCAATATAGAATGTATTGACAATACGATTATTGTCAATAAAAGCAATCGTGTAGGGTCCACTTAAGAAAATGCCTGGAGCTTCCGTCTGCAGCATCCCATCTCTTCACTGGTATCGTGCTGGGACGGGACTTGAAAATCGGGTAGCGATTTCGTGCCGATTTTCTGTCAAATCCGAGCCAGTTTCTGATTGGTCGATTTGACAGTAGCAATCGTGGAATAAAAAGGAAACAGGGATCGTGTCAATCTGGCTGGCAGTGATGCCGGAGTCAATGTTGACGTCAATGGCGTTGTTAATTGTTAATATTTGCGAAAGGAAAGTTGAAAAATCGAGTGCACTGCCTGTTTTAAGCCATGGATATTGTTGTTGGTTTATGGTTGTTTTTATTGTGTTGAGCAAAAATGATGTACAAGCTGCTAAGCTGCCGTAGAAACTGCGAATAAAATCCAAATTAAAATAGAAAAATATTTTACATTCCTGGCATCATTGGTCAACTCCGTCAAACACCACACACAACTTTCCGAAGGGTATTCATCAAAAACATTAAGAAGAGTGAGAAGCTTGATTGTCAAGTCCCGTCCCGGGTATCGTGCAGAACCTCTTTCGCCGACAATGCTTGGAAACTTCGTCGAAAGTCTTTGGAAACCTCCGGTGGCAGCATCTGAATTTTCGAGGGGAGTTTCGACGGAGTTTTCAAATATTCACGGCGGAGAGGATTCCGAGAGATTTCGACGGAGATTTTCGGTGCTGCCAAAGGAGGTTCCAGTGAGCTTCTCGCGTCTTCGGTGGAGGAGGCTCTGCACAGTTCTGGTGGAGATTTTTAATGCTGCCACCGGAAATTTCGATGGATTTTTTTCTGCGGAATATTTTCTCAAGTCAGAAGTGTGGATTTGAGCGAACAACAAAACAGGACAAAACCCTTCATGTATACATTAGAGTGATGCAAAATTTGAAATTTTCGCTCCACAATACTTAATCTATTCCAAATCGGATCCTGACTAACCTATCAAAATTTGAACCCATTTGGTGAGAAACTGAGATGGCACAAACCATTTGAAGTTTATATGGGAATTACTATGGTAAAACCAAGACTTTTGATCATGTCTATCTTATAATTCACCATATCGGTTCCTTCAAAAGTTTTCAACTGTACTTGTAGGAAATTTTTCCAGCTACAACTTTGCTGAAGATCACTTTTTGATTAAATGCAAGGATCGAAAGTTATCAATGGTCCAATGCGCTGATGTCTTATTATCATACTCAATCAACTGCTCAGCAGGCAACATTGGTGTTTCCGGGGCGTTGAATAGGACGCAAAAATCATGGCTACTATGTCACATTGCAAAATACAGTGTTGCCTACAAAGCAGCTGCTTGATCATGTCGTAAGTTTACCAATCTCTTAAATAATTAATAACTTTTCCCTGTCTTGTTTTACATAGAAACAATCTTCAGCAAAGTAGTAACTGAGAAAATTTTCTATAAGAATGGCTGTTGAGCTGTTTCGCAGCTCAATATGGAAAAACACTAAAAGACAATGAACAAAAAGTTGAGATTTCCCATAGTAATTTACATGTAAACTTCAAATGGCTTGTGCGAAGTCTGTTTCTAACTAAATGAGTTGTAACTTTGGGAGGCTAATCAGGACCCGATTTGAAACCATTTAAGCACTGTGGAGCGAAAAAGTCAAATTTTGCATCAGTCTAGTATACATGTATGTATTGGTGGGAGGTGTCACTTAGAACCAGCGTTGCCAGGTCATTTTCTGAAAAATCTGGACCAGTCTAAATATAAAATCTGGATAAATCTGGAATGCTCAAAAAAATCCTGTTTTTAACATAATGCTACTGGAATCAAAGTGATGTGACAATCTCCCGTAAAAATTGGTTAGTATGATCATCTGGAATTTAATTAAAGACTACCATAATGTTTATAAAATCCATGTTTAAAAAATATATAAAGCCAACTTGTT